TAGATTTTTTCCCCATTAGAATGTTTATTTACAACAGCTGTTGCCAGGAGTTTGCCATGCCTTCCTGGAATCATGTCAATCTATTTTGTATGTAAATAAGAACTGGCAAAATGATGGAGGAATTAAGGAACAGGAGAGGAAAGATGGATGTTTTCAATGAGATTTGCAAGGAAATGACAAGCTATTGAGATGGAGAGGCATGGAACAGCTGCTCCAGATGGCAACAGAAGTAGGGGGAACAATTGTGGGTCAAAGTGAAGAAAGTTTGTGTAGGGAATCTGCTGGCACCAAATGAATAGGTCTGGCAAGAAAATGGATGACACATGACACAGAAAATGGACCATGATAAATTAAGGCAGGGAGATTGTGTTCTTTTAAAAAAAAATCAAGGATATGACTGGCCTCAAATGCCCTAATAAACCATTTTGACTGATCTATGGAGGACTTTCATTGTAATGCAAAATCTATGATATTACCAAGAAGAAAGCATGACAGGATAACTTGGACAAAATTGCATCCTGCTATATTGCATGTTGACACAGGGCAGTTATTTTCATATTTTGCCATTCTATAAGGCACACTCACATGGCCTAGATTGAGTCTAGGGCAGGGCTGTCAAACTCGTGGCCTGTGGGCTGGATATGTCACTCACTGGCCACACCCAGTTTAGTGAAGGGGAAAAAGTCATGATACATCAGATGATGACACAAGTTTGACATCCCTGCTCTAGGGAATACATCAATACAGAGAATAGGGAGAATTCCCATCTCAACTATTTTGGACAAGAAAGAGTTAAATGAAAACTGGAATTTGATTTGTCAACTATCAACTCTAATTTATAAAGATATTGAGATAAGATCAGCAACCTGAGGACTCAAACTTTATGTAATAGAAGCGTGAAGCTGTGGTGGGATTCAATTTTTTTTACTACTGATTCTGTGGGCATAGCTTGGTGGGTGTGGCAGGGGAAGGATACTGTAAAATCTCCAGTCAAAGGTGGTATTTGCTGGTTCTCCGAACTACTTAAAATTTCCGCTACTGGTTCTCCAGAACGGGTCAGAACCTACTGAATACCACTTCTGCCATGAAGGTCTCCCACTCTTCGATAAGCATTAGAAGCACAATGTTGTGTTTATTTTGCCTTTTCTTTTATGGAAGAGAAGGATAATTAACACAAATCCCCAGGATTCTAAAACTGTAGATCCAGGAAACGTAGCTATCTAGGAAACAGAAGAAAGTAAATATAAATTAGAGAATGTGTTTTGATTTATGGAAAATTATGTAATTCGTTTCATTGATACTTAATAATGAAATGAGTCTGAATTGCATGGGTTTTTTTTTACTTTTAGTTTCATTTTGATCTGCCTGCAAAAGAAATTATCCATTCTCTCTGGAGAAGAAAGGGCTATGGGAGAAGGGAGAATGTGCCAAAACAAACAAATCCTCTTTTTATCTTTTTCACAGAATGTTCAATACTATTTTGTAGAGCTATGCAAAGTTTCATAGAAGTGATTCACTACAGAGAAATACATTTACAAAGCTGTTTGCAAAGCAGTGTGGTTCCTGCATGTCAGCCTTCCCTCACAATACTATTTCAAAGATTTTCAGGCTGAGCAACTTTCATTATCCAGCGTGGAAACCCTGCCGCCAGCTCTTAAGGGAAAAAACTTTTAAGACTATCCAAACTGTTTTTCTTAAGGTAAACTTGCTGGTTCTTTGGCTTCCATGGTAAGAGTCACTTCATCAAATTAATCTACACCACTTTACACATTGATCATCCAATCTAATGGGGGGATAACATATGCAAGCAATTTGTTCCTAAAAGTTATGTTATGAGCTACAAAGAAAATAAAAAGGATTCATTTGAGAATTAAACAACTAAAGAAAAGCTTTTTTTTAAAATCACACTGTAATTATTATAGTGGGTCACAACTAATGGCAACACCTAGATGATTCGGGCCGATCATGAAAAAGATAAACGAGATCAGATTGCTTACCTAAGTAGGAAGTGAATCAGATTTTAGAGCTAGAGATGAACTTAGATCACACTTGGAATACTACATCAAGTTCTGGTCACCACAATGTAAAAAAAAAAATGTTGAGACTCTAGAAAGAGTGCAGAGAAGAGCAATAAAGATGATTAGGGGCCTGGAGGCAAAAACATATGAAGAACGGTTGCAGGAATTGGGTATGTCTAGTTTGATGAATAGAACTAGGGATGACATGATTGCAGTGTTCCAATATCTCAGAGGCTGCCACAAAGAAGAGGGGGTCAAGCTATTCTCCAAAGCACCTGAGGGCAGTACAAGAAGCAACAGGTGGAAATTAATCAAGGAGAGAAACAACCTAGAACTAAGGAGAAATTTCTTCATAGTTAGTTAAGAAGAGATTAGATAACCATTTGTCTGAAATGGTATAGGGCAGGGGTGTCAAACTGGTGGCCCACATGCCAGATGAGTAGGCCATGCCCGCCGCAAAGGGAAAAATGTTATGATACATCATGTGATAGCAATGTGACATGGCAAGTTTGACACCCATGGTATAGGGTTTCCTGCCTAAGAAGGGGGTTGGACTAGAAGATCTCCAAGGTCCCTTACAACACTCTTACAATTCTGTTCTGTTCTACTCTACTCTACTCTACTCTACTCTACTCTACTCTATTTTAAAATGAAAACAAAATCCCAGAGACTATTAAATATTAAATTGTGACTTTATTGGTTCCAAGAAAACAACATAGTTGTATACCTATAGTGATAAAAAGTTTTGCTTGACTCAAGAGATATTAAATTTCATCTTACTTAGATTGGAATAGCTAGTAGACAGATAGATTCTACTGTAATTATATTGTCATGAAGTGTATTTTTACCTGGCTGTGTGGGGTCTTGGTGAAGCTGCCAACTACAGTGCCTTGTACTGCTTATGTTATCATTTCTGTTGGAGGAAATAATGACATTCTGTACTGATGTTTCAATCTCTTGGCTTGATCCCTATACTAATTTCAGCAAATCTCCATAAATTATTATAAATTATGTATATTATATATACATAAATTATATATATTCCTTAATTTGTCCTGAAATATCTTGAATATAACCCAATGTTTCATAACATGAAATATGGTGATGAAACATGATGAAATGTGAATTTAATAAGTGCAGTCTTGCATCTCCGAACACCCAAAATAAAGGCTTTGTGTCACAGGGATAGTATCAAGGACCTGAAATGCAAATGAAATTAGAACAAGGGAAGGTTTAGTGTCATAATTTTATTCAACTATATCAAGGATCAGAAATGCAAATGAAATTAGGGCAAGGACAGATACTCCTTCAGTATATCTGGTCTTGCTGAGATTAATCTGGTTTGAATTCCAGTAAACTTCCACCTGGTGCTTCTTGTCCTATTTTCCAATGGGTGAAAACTTGGTAAAGAAAGATCCAATCTGTAACTCAGGAGAAATTTCCTGACATTGAGAACAATTAACCAATGAAACAGCTTGACTCCTGGAGTTGTGGGTGCACCCTCACTGGGGATATTCAGAAAGGATGAGATAACCATTTGTCTGGGGTGATATCACATCTCATGCTAAGGACAGGAGATTGAAGTGATGATTAGAAGACCTCTAATGTTTCTTCTAACCCTATGAGTCTATCGATTTCCAGATCTGGATTTATATCACTTTCCAATCATAAAGAAGTCTATGGATACCGTCTGACTATTCTGCTCCATGATCTAGAGCAGAGGTGTCAAACTTCATTTCATTGAGGGCTGCATCAGGATTGTGGTTGACCTTGGGGGGCTGACTCTATGTTGCTGACATTAGGGAGCACCTGGGATGGCTTGGGTGGGGCTGGGGGGAATCCATTGTCTCCAGGGCTCATCCAGGAGTGGGGTGGGGGTAGCCCCTCGCTGGCTCCACAGCAGCGCCATGGATCTAAGGATGACCGTATTCTTGCCCAAATGGCCGCCACCAACTTTTAGATCAGTGCCCGGTCGACCTGGGCCTGGGCCAAGGCACCAGGGGCCAGTCCTTTTCTGTTTCCAAGGCAGCCCTGTGGGCCAGATTTAACTACATTGCAGGCTGGATTTAGCCCATGGACCTTAAATTTGACACCCCTGATCTAGAGGAAGACTGGGGCACAAGTAGTGCTCTGGA